CAAAGGTGAGTTGATTGATGGATCTATCAAGTGGGAGCATGCCTGACCTATATACCCCAGTGGGTGGCAAATGTGGCGCTGCCAATCTTCAACACCGAGGACACCAAAGTTTGTGAGTAGGTGAGTTGTACGATGAGTGGAGATACCTGATGCGAGGACTTCTGCGATACAGTGGCTGAATGGAGCATCGATCCAGGCGCAGATTCCAAAGGGGAGAGACTCTTTACATTGATAGGATATGTCCGGTAATCGTACCTCAGCAAGAGCAGTAGTGAGGTTACTGTGGCTAGCAAGGGCTTTGAAAAGTAGATGATATAATCATCATAGACGGTGGTCTATAGAGTGCGGTGGTGATGCGGTCGTGTATGTGGCTCCAAATCTGGTGGAACGACGGAAGCCACGGGATCGGCGTGAACGTGTGGAACGGCTTTGTTGAACAGGATCTATCAATCAACACTTGGAAATAGTCGACCAACGCCGTACTCTGCGGTCCAATGCCAGTTTTACTCAGTCAGAGTCCTACGACTCGTACTCTGACAATGTGATGCGAAGATAAGTTCGTAGTGAATTGATGGGACAGTGAGTAATCACAGGGAACAAACTTTTTCAATCACCAAGACAGGGTGTGAGGCTAGTATTTCCCCGCCTACCCGCGTCCGGGGGCGCTATGCTAGCAGTCAGAATAATTGGGCACCTGGGTGCATTGCGAGAATACGCCGGATTTCGCTCCCGCGCTCAACGACCACCCCAAATCTTGGCCTTGGTCGGGAAACCCCAAGGACAACCAACACTGTTCACCGACAGAGCCTGATCAATGTCAGGCAGGCCCGCAGATCGCGGACACGACTCTCGAGGCCGCGTGCAAGCGATCTTCTGAAGCGAAACCGTTGGCCTTGGTGCAGAGACCGACGGCCAGGGCCCACAAATTGGGCGCCTGGGTCATGCAGTCAACGTCAAACGTGCTGCGACTCTGGAGGTTCGATTCGAGGTCAAGGTCGGGGAGAGATGGGGTGGACGAAGCGTCAAAGGATGTCGAGACGACATCACCCGAGTCCCTGTCTCTTTGCTTCACGGCGTGGAAACGATCGCACTCCTCGATCAACAGCTCCTCGGCACATCGGACCATTTCCTGCTCCAGCCCACGTCGCTCCGCTTCTGACCACCCTTGCGCCGCTCGTCGAACTTTGGCTAGCACCTTGGGCAGATGCCTACTGCGACTCAGTCGTTGCATCGTACAGGGGTCGGACAGTTCACCGAATCGGGAGTTGTAATACGCCTCGACGGCCTCGTCAAAGTCTCGGAAGCCGACCGAGACGGCACCGTCGGCGACGAAACTCGCCCTCTCCTGTTTCGACGCGGGAGTCTCGACACTTGCCCCCCAGGGACTGGGACCCAAGCCGCCTCCCGCCCCATGGATGGAGTCATCGTCCACCACCTGGTCCTGCTGTTGTTGCACGGACGCGGCGGCAGCGGGCGGGTCGGGCAAAGTCCACTGGCTGCAATCGGCGGTCTCGGCCGACTGTACGTAGGGGTTTTGCCAGGACGGCACATTCATAGCCAGGGTGTGCTTCGACATGGAACGTTCGATATTCATCGAATCCAACTCACAGAGAAGAGTCCGTCTAAGCTCGTCTAGGAATTGTTCCTCGGAATCGGCCTGGACTAGATTGTCCGCGGAATAGACGGCCGGCTGTGGTAAGGGTGGCGCAAATTGACCAGCGACGGTAGCTTCCGCATTAATGAAATCGTCGACGGACGTCGGTGGGAGATGCATCTCTGGGAGAGGCCGAAAATGTCGTCGCCGGCTGGCGTTCGCGTCTGTTCCAGCAACGGGCAGACTTTCGAGCGAGGCCGACGTTGGGGTGGCAGTCCGACCAGGTCCTTTCACCACGGCCTCCTCCGACTCGGTGGGCACGGAAGTACCAAGGGCATTGCGACTGGCCCGGTCGACTCGGCCGCTGTTTGTCTTGGGATCGCGGCGCCTGGGGCTGGGTGCGCTGCCGTAGCTGGCGAGCTCAGGGTCATAGAAGGCCCAGGAGCGTTCGTGGCGCCGGCCATCCCACGAGGCACAAGAACTTGCAGGCGATGGACTGGAGGCGAGCAGGCGATTGTCTGGAGATGGCGGTGGGGAGACCATGGGCGGTGGGCGCGGTGAGGAGCCGGCAGCGGACAGCAACGGCGAGGCACGCTGTTCGTGCATCTTGACTTTGGCCTCCAACTCCTCCATGCGTGCCTTCTGCCGCTGGCCTGCTGGCTTTAGCTGACCGGACGGTGCGCGGCGGACGACCCCAGAGGGCTGGCCCCCGGGGGGG